GGGACCCCAGTGACGGGAGTCAGACTCGACTGGGACCCCAGTGACGGGAGTCAGACTCGACGGGGACCCTGACTGATGAGTGATGAACAGTTTAATTAAAATAATATTATAATAAAATATTTTGATTAATAAATTATCATGTGATCAGGCAGTCAGCCAATCGATTTTGGGGCCAAAACACGAGATTTAAAGAAAAGTGCAAATGTTTTATTTAAAAAAAAAAACATCAAAAGATATTTATAATAAAACTTTACAGTGTAAAGAATCTCTATTTAAAGGGACAAAGTCGCATAGAAGCAAAGATCAAAGCTGGATGAAGCTTGAATGTAACATTTCTTAAGAGAAACACAAAATAACTAACAGACAAACCAACTGTCTACACCATATTTCGTTTGCTAACGACTGTATTTAACACACCAACATTAACAGTACAAAGCTCAGTTTTGGGTTTATGGTTCGGTGCAATTTTGGTACTGCAGGGAAAACAGAATTTGTTTTGAAATTATTATTAAAACTGCAAATATATTTAGGAATAGTTGTAAACGAAAGGCAATGTGTATGAGATACTTATTTGCACATTGTGAAAATATGCTAAATTAAAATCGTACAAATCATTCAAAATTAACTAAATTAATTTTAATATTAGTAATTAAATAAATCCAGTGTTCTCTACTACCCAGTGTTATTACATATTTCTAGTGATAAACAAATGTTCCCAAACTGCTGATTATGATTGACTGTAACTAGGATCAGACATAACTAGCTCACAGCCACAATTAGCAAGCTTTCCACTGAACATTTAGAACATCTACTTCTGAATTTAGGTTCTGCCTGTGTCAAGCAATGTATTCATTTGCTTCATTGGGTGTTCGGACCAAAAATGATGTACCAGATTTACACAGCAAACCGCAACAATGCAAGGAATCGATGACAACTTGTTTTATTACCAATCATTATCGACATAATCAATTAGTTGTTGCAACTCTAGTTCTCCTTAGTTGCAACTCTAGTTCGCTTAGTTTCCTGTTTCTTTATTTAAGTATCAGGAAATTGACATCAACATAAGCATGAACCTCGCACAAAAGGTACCAAACCCATTCTCTTTTGTTATCATAATTGCAGGCAGAATTGGGCGGCTGGGGCGGGGGGTGTTTACAAAGACATGTGAACTTTTCATGTGCTTGGGTCAGCCAGCAGGCAGAGACACGCACGCACGCACGCACGCACACACGCGCACGCACGCACGCACGCACGCACGCACGCACACACGCACACACGCACACACACACGCACACACATGTAAGGTAAACATATCCTTATGGGGACCGCTCATTCATTTCAATGGGAAAAATGCTAATGCTAACTATGACAACCTTAACCCCCACCCAGCCCTAACCATAACCATAAGTAACCGAACAAAATACAAGAGTTTTTGCATTTTTATTTTTTTCATAGCAGTCACCAATTTTTATAAAATAGAGTTTTAAAAAAACGGATATTTATCATGTTATGGGGACATTGTGTCCCCATAAGGATAGGTAAACCCGCTCGCACGCACACACACACGCACACAAAACACAAACACACCCCCTCCCACTCCAGTATGATTCTGAATGTAACAACTATTAAAATTTAAGGAGCACAATCTTGGTGGCCACCTGGGACTGGATGCAGGAGCCGTCAGGAAGCCCGGAAAGATCTGGAGGAGCTACATCATAAAAACTTTAATTAAAAAACATTCCGCTTCCGAAGGGCGGGAGGCCACGGGAATCAGAGCCACGTTTCCATGGCGCTTAGTGCTCACCTTAGCAACAGTTTCCCATCTATTCGTGTCTAAATGGGCGGCTGTGTTGCTGCGGTTACAGGGAAAACGAGACCCAGTGGCGTATGACGTGATTTCAGTCATTAATTTGAAGCAAACCTTGGAGAACACAGTAATAAAATCAACCTTCCGGCTGAACATGGGCTGGGCGACTGAGTGTTTACACTTGCGTTTGCTACCCTGCAAACTGGAGACTGAGAACCTGGCACTATTTCTGTGGGGTTAGGGGGACCTTTCAAAATCACGTCTGATGGAGGACTAAGGACGGAGCATCCTCAACAGCCTCAAGCCGCCGTGTCCTTCCGGCATCGAGCAGAGCCGTGTCACGTGGCCTTACATAAATACTTCAGAGGGAGAGTGTGACACGCAGTGCTGAAGTGCAGTGTGGCAGTGATCCCAACGAGAGGACAGCGCCGTCCCCTGGCTCGTCATTAACGGCCCTCGTTTGCGTGGCTGTCGGCGATGAAGAGGGACAGCGAGTAAACATGGCAGTAAACATAGTCAGACACCGGCCCAGAGGAGTCGCTTTTCACGGCACGCGAGTCCGATATCACTTTCACCGTCTACTGTTACGCTAGAGCGCTGCTGGCGTTCCGGTTCGATCAACCTACCACAGCGCTCCCAGATGAGTGCCGTGACAGAGGCGGTCCCCCCCACCCCCCCCAGAGGTGCGGACCGGCATGGGATCACGCAGGACTCATGTCATATTCGCTGTAGCAGCACACTGGTTCATAGACCGTACCCGCACAGCAGTCCATCTTTATATGGGGAGCTTGGATCTTTGTGGACAGCAGGTGCCCAGTGAGCTATGACCCCCCCCCCACCCCCCACCTCTGACAATGGTGCCCTTCACTGCTGTATCCACAGACAGCGTCCGTCTCCTAAACTGGAGCTGATAAGTTGTTTGTCAGCACAGCATGAATGGCCAGGCTAACTGAAATCCAGGCGAGACTTTGCACTGCCCTATATCCCCCCCCCACGCTGTCAACACCTCCCCAAAGTCACGGCGGCCAGGGAGCTGTGAGGCAGGTTAGCGCTGCTTCCCCAAGAACAAATTGCAGGCTCCCTCCAGCGATAAAACTCACCGCCACCCCCTCAGTCACCCCCCCCCCTCCCGGCCTGGCGGACGCCCGGCCCTCGTCTCCCACCTTTCCAGCACGGAAGGAAAAAAATAAAAAGCAAAAGATTGCCCCGGTGTCATAAAAAGAGATGAAAGCAAACTAAAAGGGTGACCGTGTAGGATCTGCAAAGGGAGGCCTGTCTTCCGGAAGGCCTTATTCAGCCATGAATACAGGTCACTCTCTCGCCCTCATCAGATACCGGTGTCAGTTACGGGCCTGAAACTTCCCTTCAGTATCAGAGTTATTAAAAATAAAACAGAATTAAGTTAAAAATCAGCCACAATGACAAAATCCACAATGAAGAAATTCAATTTTAGTTCCACATAAAAAGGTGCAATTAAAGTAAATTACTTTATATATATATATATATATTATTCATATAGGCTAATATTTGCTAAAGCCACAAAGCAGTCCACCAGGTGTGAGCCGCTGGTCTCCCCGCGCACAATCAGCGGGCTGCTCACCTGAGTGTCGCGCAGCTCGTGGTTTGCAAGTTTCTGGCAAAAACATGAATCAAGCCGACCTAATGCGATTCCCCGCAAAGCCGGTGTCGCCTGAAGGATTGGAACCCTCACAAGCCATTACTGAGCAGGGCAAGACAAAAATGCAACACGCACACGGCGGCAGCTTCAGGACAGGACAGTGCAGCGCGGAGAGCAAGCTGATGGGATCGATGAGAGGCTGCGGAGCTCAGGACACCAAGGTACCCTTCTACATCGACTGTAAGCCAACAAAGGAATCCTCACCACGGAAATGGCATTACTGACATTATTTGAGCATATGGATACTTAGAGCCGACATAGTTGATATAAAAAGCACAGACACCCGTCATGCAGAAAAACTGATGATGTTTTCAGTTCAAAAACACGTAGAGGTATTTTCAAAGAAAGGGTACCGCTGGTCTTATCATTTAAACGCAGCAGCACGATTAACTCAGAAAGGCCCTCCCTTTATGGTTTGTGAACGGGACACATCCACAAATATCTTACCATCTTAAAGAATCTCGAGACATAACAAGCAGGAGTGGAAATGTCCTCAGTGAAGAAACACTGAAGGATTAATACACCAAGAGGTGGCATCAATGGCTACCCCAGGAAACCCCGCCCCTTCTACTGCGAACGACGTGCACCGCATCATCGCCTTGGCAACAAAGCAGGCCCCGTCCTCTGGACCAAAAACGGCATGAACCATGAACGATTCTGACAGGCAGTGAGTGGCCCTTTAAAAGGAGACTCAAACTGCATGGGAGAGGGCCAAAGGCTGTGTTAACAGTGACCACTAGGGGGCGATGGGGACATCATCCGGAAGCCCACCTGGGTGCCTTCCCATCTCCTGGGTGCAGCTCAGTTGCCTCCTTCATCGGCGTGCTCAGCAGCTCGGCGAGATCCTCCTTCCCATCATGCCCGCTCACTGCCACTGCAGCTTCTTCCTCCTCCTCCTCATCATCTTCATCTTCCTCCATCTTCTCCTCCTTCCTTCCTCCCTCGCTCTCATTATCGCTCTCCTCTCCGAGGATGTCATCCACCTATTCCAAAAGGGAACATAACCGATAGTCTTCCTTTTATCATCTTTTTTTTTTTTTTTTTTGGCCCATAGGGGGCACCACTGCATACTCCCTTCTTTATTTTCCAAATGGACCATCGCCCCCCCCCCCCCCCCACCACAAAACCCCCCAAGTCAGCCAGTGACCTGCGACTCTCCCCCATGCTGGGCGACCCTGTCGTCTAGTTGCCGTTTTACCCTCCGCACTGCGACGCCATCAACCTTTGGACCAACACGCTTGTCAGGCCTACAAACGCCTCTGCCCATCCGGCGTGTTTGGCCCTCGAGCACTAGGGGCCGGGGAGCACCGCTAAACAGCCGCCGAGTTAAACTACCTTCCGTGATGTCAGTCCCATTTTCCTACTGCTCATTTAAGGACATTCCACAGCGTTAAGTTTATGATATGAAAATACGGCTCTGGAAAAAATTAAGAGACCACAACAAAATTTCTCTATTTTTGGGTATGCATCTGCATAAAATGTAATTTTTTTTACAAACTTCAGCCTGCCTCTTTCCCTGCTTCTCATTAATGAAGGGCTTCTTCCTTGCTTTATGGGTCTGCAATCCCGCTTCTAGGAGCCTGACATGAACTGTCCTAGCAGTGCACTTCACACCTGCACTTAATGCTTCCCATTCCTTATGAAGGTCACTTGATGTCATCCTACGATTCATGAGAAGCTGTCAGATAAGTTAACGGTCATCACTGGCATTAGAATGCCCCTTTTGCCCTTTACCTGGCTGGTTTCTGATCATTCCCAGTGTCTCCTGCTTCACCATATTCCTGTGTACCGCCGTCTCAGAAATTTTGAGCCTGGATGTAGTTTGCCGCTCAGTGTAGCCTTCTGCCAGCATTAAACCAGGATTTGAAAATGCAGATTTTTAAAAAATATACAGTGGTCTCAATTTTTTCCCAGAGCTGTACATCGGGCAGAGAGAAATTAAATCTGTTCAATTAAAAAATGGATTTAGTAACAACGCAGAAACGGGTATTACACTGTACACCTTGCAAGTAAGCGAGTTGTTTCTTACATGGGAATTACAAGCATGGTATTAACTTTCCTTGAATTAGAAATGTAGCCTCTTGGGAGAGGAAGAATTGCTTATGTTGTTCAAAATCCTTTGACTATTAATGTGTCACAGGGCCCACATATAATTTAAAATCAGAAGAAATGCCTGGATTTGACTTGAATTATTCATCAAGACATTTCAACATTTTGAGAGCAATCAGTAAGTAAAAAAAAAAGGGCTCCATCAGCTTGAAACGAGCTTTCAGGCCACGATGTAAAATCCAGTTATCATTCATTCTGCTAACATAGAGGGCTTCCTTTCAGAATATATGGGGCAGAGGGGCATCTACAGCCTGTGTGACCGACAGTGTGCATATATGGAAGAGAAGACCCACTTGTTAGCTAGCACTTCCGAGGACACAGGGTTAACAAACAGGGGGACTCTGGGAAGAATTCAACACTTTGGGTAACTGTGGGGGGGGTTCAGTTTCGTTTTTACACAAACTAGAGAGCAGACTTCGCAGTAACATTGATTTAACACCGGCTTCAAACGTACACTTTGAACGTACTAATTCCTAACACGCACAGTGACAAGTGCCCGATTAACCGGGACGCTGTACAAGGAGAACTTCCTCCTATTTTTGGAGCCACAACGTTATGTGTCATGAATGGCCGCGTCTAACTTTAACAAACAGGCTTCGCTTGTAGCTGCAGATGGCATATCCCACTGCCCCGGCGCCCACCAACCTCTGTTCGCACAGGCGGTATATTCCCAGTTAGGAGAAACTCCAAGCAAGACAACATATGCGGATCCTCAACAAGACGTCCAGAAAAGGCTGGGCTGGTGTCCCAGAGAATGACCGGAAAATGGTCCCAGCATCTCGGAGAACTGAAAAGACTGGGTCAGCCTCCCGGAGAAAGGCCAGAAAAGACTGTGCCGTCATACCAAAGAACGGCCGGAAAAGACTGTGCCGTCATACCAAAGAACGGCCGGAAAAGACTGTGCCGTCATACCAAAGAACGGCCGGAAA